GTGCGCACTCAGTGAGGTGCATGAATAAATAAATAAATAAATAAATAAATGCTTACTTTTTATAACAAAGAATGGGAAATTTTACTGTAATTCAATTAATCGAAAAAAAGGAACATTTATTTGTTCAGGCGCCCTCGATAACCGTTTGACACGCAACATTTCAGTGAAACAACGTTCATTGTTCCGTGGAATTTATTGCTTCAAGCAAACGCGACATGAGAGTCACGTAATCTTGCCTAACTTCTCAATAAAAAATGCGCAGCGGGGGATGATTAATGGAGCTAACCTTCAGGCCTATCTCTTTACCATACCCTTTCCACTCCATACTTTCATTCGCAACTCAAAAAGATTATCGGGACAAAATCACAGCGAAACGAGCCCGAACACCACAAGGGATGTCCAATGTCTTTCTTCACATGCCTAGTAAGCTATAGGCCTTCATAGAAACATCAACTCTAGTTCTTTCAACGAATAATGGCGACCTAGCGTTGGAGCAACAATTTTTTCAAAAAGAACAGTTACAATTCGTAATAACATGCAATATCTGACTGCCTGCACGTTTGTTCATATACAACGCAAACAGATTCGTATGGATCGAGATGAAGTTGACCTTTGGTTGTATTACGTGTAATCCTCTTCTCACAACGGTAATCAGTAATAGTTAGATGGATGTGCACTCTAGAACTGACCATCTAAGTTGCTTACGCAACCTATGAGAACTACTATTTCATCGACCTTCAACTAGGGAATTTAACTGCATAAGTATGGAATCGCTACAAAACTAGTTTGGGTCTACGGACTACTTGTACTCGGTTCCTTTGATTGTGGCGACGGCGTATTTTTCTGCACTTTCGTTTGATGTAATCTTTGAATGTTGTGCTTGTCTGTCCAATAGGACCACCACCACCACCCCTGAAGGTTTCACCCTTGGTATTTTTCTCTGCGCTCTAGCCTCCTGCTGTCAGGGACGCAGAGAAAGTTCAGGTAGTCACGTAACCGTCCCATCTTTGTCTTCAGAATTGGTGTAAAAGCTAGAGCTCTAACGAAACAAGTAGACCGGAAAAAGAGGAAAAGGGCAATAAAAAGACGTACCTTTTCGCCTCCTGGATGTTTGCCAGCAAACTGAGCCACATCGTACACTCGTCCTTTTAGCAGTAGAAGCAATGGCCTCTCAGCTTCCTTCTGGGTGGAATCCTTTTCCAACCCCATCGTGGAACGTCCACCTGAGAATACGTGTCATTTATGATTATACATATGCCGCGCGTCACAGAGAGAATGGCCATCAATAGTGCACCACACGACGATTTCGGACAAAAACTCCCTCATCATTCGGCTGAACATAAACATTCCTAGATTCTTCTCGAATCGATCAACGTCAAAAAACACCCACTCTATGGCAGAACACATTTCCTTCTCGGAATTCAATCAGATTGATTCAGAGAATTCGCTAAAATACTAATGCTTCCATTTTCGATAACAAAAAAAACTTAAGAATTCAGTTCAAACCAAACATCTGATTACTAACTTTTNTTTTAACATCAAGGAGCAATCCGAACACTCCAAAAGGGGCTCGAGCCCAAATAAAGGCTCCCAGCTCGTTACAAAAGCGGAACTATCACGTGTAGGTAAAAAAAGATACCTCAAATTAAGAGCAAGTTGATAAATCCCAGGCAGAATAGTTCGAACATTTTGAAACAGTTTTACATAACCCAGAACTCAGTTAGACAACATTTTTTCAAAATAAACAATTACTTTTTTAAAAATACCGCCTAACATTTGAAAAATTGAAAAATTGCCAGAAAACGCACAACGTCCACAGCTCAGCTAACTACATTTGCCGTGGTCCAATAATTATTTTTGGGTCGCCGTTTTCTTAATCCTCAGACCTCACTACCCATAGATTCGTGGAAGATGGTCAACCACAANACTTTTTTAAAAATACCGCCTAACATTTGAAAAATTGAAAAATTGCCAGAAAACGCACAACGTCCACAGCTACATTTGCCGTGGTCCAATAATTATTTTTAGGTCGCCGTTTTCTTAATCCTCAGACCTCACTACCCATAGATTCGTGGAAGATGGTCAACCACAAACACTTGAGGAATCCCTCTGAACATCGGACCTTTCGTACCACTGCCCTATGCCTCCCTCTCAAAGACTGCCCTATTGGGATTGCTTGAGCGACTTTCAAAAAACTTTTGATGACAAATTCGAAATAGATGGTATTTGCCGCCGATTCTCTTTTGCGATGCCACTTATTCCCATACTTTGGTCTCCCATTAGGGCAGAGCTGGGGACAAAAAGAAGAGAAATGACTGGTCGAGTGGCCACGAAGGACAAATCTTCAAGACGTTAGACGTTTTAAGGGGACAATGACGAACGAAAACGCTTCCATTTTCTTCCGAGCAGATAAGCTTGATGAATTGCAGCATAGACGAAGCTAAGTAGAAGGGCTCGGAGCCATTGGCCAGTTTTCCATATGGGAAAGTCAACAAATGAGCCTTCGTTCAAATGTGAATGCGAAAAATGGAGAAAATAAAGAGGCTTATGCTATCCACCTCAACGGTCCCATGTCGGAGGGGTTGTTGCCAAAATAATGCCCACGCTTGCTGACGCTAACAATAAAACCACCATATGTGAATGTATTGAATTGCATATGTTACGAAAGCAACATCGAATGCGAAAAGAGCTCTCCTGGCATGGGCATATGACGGCAATTCGCGTGACGTCGGAAAAAACGGTCTGATTCGGGCAAAAATATCGGCAGAAAATTTTCACAGTAGTCCGGACTTCTTCCCGAATTTTCTAAAAGCTTACCCAGAGGGTACCACAAAAGGACACTACCCACTTGCATGCGCATTGTAGATGAGGAGACTCCATGGTATCGCGGTTGCCTGACCAGATTGAGGTTCATCCTCGAACTTTTCGTTTCAGGAGGCGTTGGAACGAGGTGGGTACAGAACCGCTTAGGAGGAGCTCCAAGGGCAAATGGTTGACTCAAGTTTCAATGGGTTCCAGCAGCGGAGTTGCCGGGTGCGGAGAGTACTGTCCTTCTATAGAAATTCCACAAAAAATTCCTGAAAATTCCGAGAGAAATCTGGACTACTACCAAAATTTCTGCTGCTACTTCCCGCACAGCCTCATTCCTATAGTAGTAAAGAATGTTTGGGCAGAGAAGGAAGGTAGCCACTCTGGTGATCCAAAACGATATTTTCTGGTCTGAAAACGCAGGAGAACGGACCCATCTCACCTGTTTGTGCTCGTATCGTCAACGAAAAAATAGGTGGGCCTAATTATTTCGGATTTTTAATACTACCTCTAACATGGGCGTAATTCTGGTGAGAGGCGAGCGACACATTTGAGCGACATATGTCTCGAGAGACACATTCCGACGAGATTTATTGTGCCGCGCAAACGTGCCCATCATCACGCGCGCGGAAAATTCGCACCCCCTAGCTCAGCAGTAAACATCTACAGTTCACGTAGGCGAGCGAGTTGCTCGTAGTGAACAATGGCCCTAGATCCTACAGTAAAATAAATCGACGAAGAATGCATGCCTTGTCATGAGACGAAAGTTCTTTTCCTTAAGAAATGGTGTCACAGACAGAGGCGGAAGTGGAGCAATGGTTCTTGGCGCCACTATCACCCCATGAGTCACGGATCGAATTCTGCTCACGTTGGCAACGTCATTCTCAGATCTCTAGTGAAATTGAATTAACGACCGAAGTATACAATGTGGAGATAGTGGGCGGGTCTATCCGTGAAGGGTGGCATTTTCAAGACAGGTGTTCCCAGGCACATATCAGGTTACATGGCAGCGAACAGCCCAGGCCTGTTACCCGTTTTTTGAGAATAGATTAGATCGTCGGGACACTTTTTCAATCTGTACTAAAAATCAAAAGCGACGGCGCTGCTTTGAGAGAGAGAGGAGGAAAAATGGGCGATGAGCCCTTTCGTTCCTAGATCTCTCTGCTCCCGGTGTAATGAGCACAGTGTAGGAACTGGGCCAAACCTTTCAGTACAATTCAGGCACCTCAGCCCCTATCCATCCGTTCTAGCTCTCCCAGAATCACTGCGTGGAGGTCCGAAAGATGATAGAACGGATGCACGAAAGAGCATAACTGTTAGACAAGTTGAAGAGTATGGAAGCCAAGATTCGAAGAGTTCAAACCAAAACCAACGAAGGAGATGGCGTAGACCTGATGGAGCGAACAGTTTGCGGTGTTGCTGAAAGTATGAAGACAAAAGACGTAGCCACTGGAACTGTCACTGTGATATAGTAGTTATAAGCCAAGAAGTGGAACCGCACAGTTCTGGTTCAGTGATTTCTGGCCGCTATATCAAGTCGAGAGTGTGTCTGGCCAGCTGAGAGAGAAAAGAGAGGAAAAACGAAATTTGCGTGTAATGGAAAACGAAAAAGACTCTAATCTCTTGCACTATTTCCCATTACCTTCGCGCTTCCGTCAAGAAAAAGTAATGTAATCAAAATAATGGAAGTAGTCTGGCCAAAACCAAAACGTTCGCATTTGCCCAGCCAGCTCGTTTGCTGGATATTTTAGTGGACCGAATTGGAACAATTGGATTTCCGGGGCCGATAAAAACCAATTGGTCCCAGATAGCCAAAGATCATTTGCAAGCATTCTCTACAAGCGATGATTCCTGAACTACCACACCCTGTCTGGGAGTTCTTCGCCTAGCACGAGGCTTGGGAGTTGGCACTATAAGATCAGGCACGACATTCCTGCAGATATTGCCTTCGGTAGCCAGAAACTTACCTGCCGTAACCCTGAAAATAAAGTTAAAAACAAGACAAATAACAATCCTTCATACTTTGGGCGTCGGCCTAGGCAGATATACCCACTAGTCGGTTCCACGGAGCCCTTTTTTTAGAAGAAATGGCAAATCATCCAATGAACAGAAATCAGTTACGGTATTGAAAATCGATTTATCATTCAGAAGACAGTTCAGTAACAGTCGACATAATCCAAAGAACAAACAGACCCAACATTTCAGAGAAAGCGAAAATGATCGTGAACCGATCAATTCACTGTGAAAAGAAAAGCAAATGCTAAACGCCGAGACGTGATTCACTTTTGTGTCAAAATAAATTCCTTATCAGACATCGTTATTGATGCCTTCCGTGGTGATAAGTGGGAACTCATATCGGAACTCATCTTTCACGTTGATGTTCCTTTTTATTAATTTAGCCTGTGATTTTTCTCTTCTTTCAGTCTTCGAACGAACCCGAATGACCTTTTAACCTTAAAAAGTGGATGGCCTAAGGGAACTTACAGAAGTTGGTGAAACGAAAACAGTTAGCGGACAGAATCCTGTCCAGATCTGACAAGGAAGACGATTTTTGGGCGAAACCCCGTAAATGTGCTCGGAAAGCACAAGTATGGTTCAAGACCCTCGGAGACCGAACGAAGTTTTGCTAACAATCACCTTCCTTGTGAGATCTGGATAGAGTTGTCCGTAAACCGTTCTTGTATCAGCAACTTCTTCAGGTTTATCTAGGCCATCCATTTTTCGAAGGCTTCAGCGATCATATGGGTTCATTCGAAGAGGGAAATAAGAGAAAAATTACTAGGCTCTGGACCAGCCTGGCTGGTATTGAAGTTCGCTCAATAATTGGGCATAGGGTCCGACGAATGACGTAGTCCGGGAATACAGGGTAACCTTGGCTATTTCTTACCTCATCAATTACTTTTTCTTCTCTGAATTCAATCGCACTAATCGTCTAATAGACGCGAAAAACTTTGTGCGTCAGTTCTAGCCCTCTATATATCTTCCCAATTGGGCAGTGCGTTCACTTAGAACATTCACTTAGTTCAAAGGTGATTACATTCATCGGCAACGGAGCCGTTCCAATATGACATTCGCTGGGCGCAAACAGAATACGTCTCGCAGTTAGTTCTTGTCGGGACAGGCAGAATCTTCTCCAAAACTCATAAAGTTCCCAGCTTTTCTTATAGAGTGACGCATCGGAAGCAGTAATATCTATGAAGAAGTATTCTCCAATCCTCATGGACGACCATACAGAGCAATCGCTCGTTTCGGACTATTCACACTTGATAATGGCCAATCCAAGGCTGATACGAGAAACCCGGTGAAGAAGCCGTGAGAACAAGGAGGTGCCTTTTTCTGGTAGAAGGCTTTCCCATACGTGTACGAACTGGTCGGCTGTTTTTCTTTCACGAAAAAAAAAACGATAACACGACCGATTTGATAAGAATGGCTAGCTAAGGTCTGGTGTGGCGACGATATGGCGGGATGAAAAAAATGCTATTCACAGAAAAAAAAACAGCCAGTAGGCATGCTGCATAGATTGGTGCCAAAGCACGAAAAAAATTCTGCGCCTCTAATCCTACAGGAAGATAAAGTTCTATGAAATCCGTCCTTCTCTAACTTATATTCGTAAATGCGGATCTATTGCTCCCGTACCGAAAACAAACAAAAGACCCAAACAAAGTAAATTAAAGAGTAAACAAGAATAAGCAGAAGTAATACCATGTATGAAGCAAGAGTATAAAACAGAGTGATAGTAAATGGACTGTACAATTGTGTCGATCAGTAGTTAGCGCGGTCCAGCTGATTACTTCCATGGGCTTCACAAGCCTAAGCCTGGGATTCTGGTCCTGAGAGTTCATCTACTGACCTCTACTTATCCAGAACATTTCCTATACCACTTCACTTACAAAAATTTGAAGAAAACAAAGTTAAATTGATGCGATAAAGGTATCAAATCGGGACAATCGTACACGAAGAATTCATCCAGTTCAGGAACGATTGCCCTCAAAGTCCGACTTATTCGCAAGGAAATTAGCAGAGAAGCGGTTCTCACGGATCATTTCTCGAATAAAACAGCCGCGTGGGGGAGCAAGAGTGGAGTGCTGCGGGGAGGAGCGGGATTGCCGGGTTTCCGGGCGACGGGTTGCTGCTGCTGCGGTAGAAACCGGTTCAGCCTGGCCGACGAATGGCTGTTGCGCAGCGCCCCGCGCGGCGAAAACCATGGAGACCACGAAAAAAACGAACGATAAAAAAAGGTACATAGGGCTTTTGGCAATGCATCATTGCAGAAAATCAAGGACAGCGCTTTCCGACGAGTGGTTATGTGCCTCCTTGGCAACACCATTGCAGGGGTTCTC